AGATAAACAAAACCTGAAAGAATTTACCAGCACCAGCCCAGATCTCCAAGAAGTTCTCAAGGGAGTGCTATGTCAGGAAAATTAAATGCAGATGCACAGACAATAAGAGTTCAAAAACTAAGAAAATGGCAAACTCAATTGTAGGGACGAGTCTGGAGTTGAATATTACATCCTGGAATTTAATCTAGAAAATCAAACCACAACAGAAATAAAGTACATGAGACTGAATTGGTGAAGTATAATTTTATGATGTTTAACTAAAACATTGTTGATTTTCTTGTAGACTTTGTTATCTGGTTGTAAGGATTTGTATCCTGTCTTAAGATATGGATAGGTTCATGCATCTACCATTTGAACAGAGTCCTAACCTGTTTCCTGCCTTTAAGTTTTAAGCAAAGTTCCTTAGCATTTCTTTGATTTAAGTTAAAACTGGTTTTCTTAATAGTACCAAGTGAACTTGCTATTGAAAGTAGTTAGACTATTTACTAAATTGTGTGATCAATACAATATGGGGGTGGGGGAAGGAATGGAAGACAACTGTTGACACCAGAGATAGTGTGAGAAGAGGGTGGGAAAGGGCAGAGGGTCAGAAATAGGGGTAATGAAACTAGAAATGAAAAATTATTGATGATAACATCCATGATTAAGTCACTATGCAGTATATTTTGGGTGGGAAATCACATTTTGTATGCTGTGACGATGCTTAGGAAATGAATGTAAAATAATTAATTTAAATAAAAAATGCATTAAAAATTCCTATTTGATGACTGCAGTAAGCTACATAGCCCCAGCTAGGTGCTACTTTATAGAATGTTCATTCTGCTCACTGAGGTTTAAGCTTGAAGTCAGACTTGTGTTCATGGATATGTATATATCAGCTGTGCTTGCTATTGAAAATATTTAGATTAAGATCTTTAGTGAATCAATAAAAGGTGTGTGTGTGGGGGAGACATAGAAAGCAACCATGGATACCATGGGAGGAGGGTGGGAGATGGCAGAGGGGGGGAGATAGGAAAATGAAGATGG